ATGACGTTTTTTTTTTTAATTATTTCTTTCTAATCAAAACTTGATATTATTAAACTGCTCGCTAAAATGAGGATGTACGAGTGTATTTTTTATAATAAATCCGCACTTGATCGGAAACAATCTAGTTATGCGAAGTGGTGACCAAAAACAGCTTTCCTTCAATTCATAATACTTATAAAATTAAGTATTAAGAGTAAATTTGCTCAAGAGTCATAAATTATTGCAATAAGTTATTTTGTATATTCTTTTACTTCATATTATAGAATTTTGGGAAAAAGTTTTCATTAGGAATAAAAATTATCAATGATTGGCATTTTGAGCGTATTTTATCATATTTTTAGGCCTTGATGATTTCAAGCCTCAAGAACATTAATTTACGCTTTTTGATTTTAGTGTGCTTGTCTATGCTGATTAAAATAAAAATAAATTTAAATTGAACTTATTTAAAAATGATAATCTGTTTAATTGTGTTATTGTTAGTAATATTGGCCACACCACTTCCTTCTCATCTTTTATATTGGATTTTCCAAATATATATCAGAACAGCCTCGGATTTTTGAAATTTGTCATAATAATACACAGAATCCAAAGGACAACTATTCGAACCGATAAAGAGAGGAAAAAATGTCAGTATAATAATTTACCTGGTCAAATGCAGTAACTTGAACATGTGTGGGATGAAATTACTTTTACTTCGATGGGGAATGAATTTCAGCTAATTGTTTAAATAAATGCCCAGCACTCGAGCGTTTTTACAACGAAATCGACGGTGGGCGTCAACGGGTCGTTCCCATAAGTTTTGCAAGCTTCCGAACGGCCCAGATAGAGGTCGCCATCTAGCCATAAACCAAATTTCCCATCGCCGGCTCCAATACTTAAACTTTCGTTGTTACCCTTGATAAAGTAGAGATTTTCACCTGTCCAATTGTACACTTGGAAATGAGGAACGAAAGTGAATAGCAGGGATTCCCCGGTGCCGTAAAAATGGTCAGACACTTGAAAGGCGCATGATGTCAACGCACCAAACACCTACAATGAAATAATAATAATGCTGATATATATATATGCTGAAATATTACTTACGTTATTGTCGGTGTCTTGAATAAGAAGTAAAATTGGCGATTCTAATTTGTACATTTTCCTATACATAGAGTTCAAGCTGAAGCCGTGTTGACTAGTGCTGAATACAAGCGTCCAATTGTAGCCTTCAGCCCTTGCAGGTAAGTGATGGTACAAGGCGAGACGGTGCTCTTCCGTTAGAATTTCCGTAGTGCCTATCAATTCCGGGGGCGCAAGTTCCACGTCTATTGAAGGATGTGCGGCACTTGCTAGAGCTTTCCGGACATCATTTGACATTGGCAAAACCTAAAAATATTGTTACAAATTTTCAGTTACAATGCTTGGTTTTTAACAAAAAAATAAATAACATTTGAACTTCTAAAGGCACTATTTAACATTAATACAATACATTTTTAAATGTACTAATTTTGATTTGATGAAATTTTGTCCTTAANTTATATAAATAAAGAACTTTTATGCAGCATTTGTTTAACGCTATTCTTTTAATAAGTTTATCATTCATGTACATACCATGTTAAACATTTGTAAACTTTTTTCTTCTCTTGAATGGTAATTAATATCGCCTTATCGTTACGTTTTATCACAGCATTTATAATCATATTTATTACAATTGTTTATAACAAAATCATAAACATTGATAACGCTCTTAACCAATACGACCAATACCAACAGCACCATATGCTACTTCCATAGAATAATATTACCAACTTAGTAATTAATGCATACTTGTTTGCTATGTTCAAGTCATAGATTTTTGAGATCTATAGACCATTAAGTTTGTTTTATCTATGGATTTAAAATTTAATTAGGTTAGGTGTTCATTAGGTACTGTTTTAATTGTGGATTTATGTAATAAAACATAAAAAGTAATATAAATTACAATCCAACACTAGTTTCAAGCATTCTTGTGTAAGCGTTACTGTATTATTAATCAAATATATCATCTATTGTGTAGACGTACGTTTCGTGAATCTTTTCATTTTTCTAACCTAGCTGTATGATTTTATATTCTTCAAATTCTTTAGTTTAATTTTAGGTGAAATGGATGTGACTTCCTTAGGAAACATTTTTAATCAAAATATGTAAGGTTTTTGTGTTTATCATTCAACTGTACAACAATTTCTAGTGAACAATTTTAGATCATTTGATGGTTTTGATAGTAAATACTCAGCACGTATACTAACTCAAGATGTAACAGTGAACTGTAGTGTAGGAACTCATCACCATGGAAGTTCAAATGTAAAACTGACTAATGTTGTTGATTATAATTGGGAATTGAGATATAGCAATGGACAAATGCTTGCAGTTCATATAGACGGCAATGTTATTGCTTATGGAATGAAAGGTATAATATAATATAATGCTTTCTTAAGTATCCAATATTTTAAATAGTGCATTAGTGAACTACTGTATTTCAGGTAAAAATGGTAGCATGATAAGGGTGGCAAATCAAAAAAATAATAATAGGACACTTATTAAGGATATTGGAGCTCCAATTCTTGATTTATCTTTTGCTATTATACCTAAACAAATAATTCTTGGTTGTGCTGACACAGAAGGGAGTATATATATTTATGAAATAGATGATCAAAGTGATTCAGTTGTGTATCCTTTAATAACTATTTGACTTTGCTACTATTTTTCACTAGTTCAATTTGTCCCTTAATAAACTAATAACAGATGGTCGTTGGTATTACATGTAATTCATCCAAAACCCATGTACAGTACAGCAAACAATTATAGGATAATTTGGTGTCCATATCTTCCTTCTTATGAAGAAGAATCAGATGGAGATGTTATTGATGATCCTGCTAAGTTATTTGTATTCCTGAACGGAAGCAAAGGCAATATTATCAGGCATTATATACTTTCATTTCGCTTACAAAAAATGTAATTTTAGCGGAAATTTTTGATGTTAGCATAGTGAATTCACAATATGGTTCAGACCCTTTATGTCCCACTTCAGACATTGAAGGATTTATAGAAATTAGCGAGCATATTTTGGATATTGTTGATGCATCATTTTCACCAGATGGTACTGCTTTAGCAACGTCCAGTTTGGATGGATATGTGAAGTTCTTTCAAGTAAATAAAAGCAACCAAAAAAAAATGATTGCAAATGTTACATTGCGTTTTTGAAAGAAGTTTTATATTTTTAATAGAGTAAATTATATTTCAGGTTGATATGCCAGATAATGAGAAACCAAGATTTTTACATGAATGGAAACCCCATGATGGAAAGGCTCTGTCTTGTTTGTTCTTTTTAGATAACATTTTACACAATTATACTACAGAGTAAGTAACACATTTTTTGTAGCAAATGGATGGATAAAGTGGGATGGATAGCAAATTAATTTCTCGTTTTTTATGAACTGTTTTGCCAGTGTTATATTACTCATTAATTAAAAAAAAAAAGGTGATGACAGTTTTATATTTTAGTTTTAGGTTTTGGAAATTTGCAGTAACAGGATCAAATCATAACACTGAGTTAAAAATCTGGTCTTGTGAGTCTTGGACCTGTTTACAGACCATTCGTTTTCTACCCAATCCAACGTCCATAGCTCAACAATTGTTTATGAAGGCACGTTTGGATATGACTGGGCAATATCTAGTTTTATCAGATATAAATAACCGTACTTTGTATATTTTAAAACTACAAAGAAAGGATTCGGAACAAGTGGCACTTGTTTCATCAATATCGCGTTTTCTTTTACCTGCCCCCTTCCTCAGTTTTTGCATCGTTAGTGCTGATGAAAAAAAACAGTTACGAAGTGCCAGTAGCAACGAAGATTTATACACGAATGATGTTGACGATTTTGAGGATGCAACGTTGGAAGCAGTAGTCGAAATGAATATGTTTGTGGTTCAGCCGAAACAACTTCAGGAATGTCTCATCACATTCCAACCGGAAAATTTTTATTTGAACGACGAAAAACAAAATGGACTGGAAAATCTGGAGAAAGAGAAAAACAATGACCCAAAAGAAGAAAAGAATGAACTCCTCAAACTAGATGACCTACAACCTTCCGTTAATTTACTTATACAACAAAATAATAGTCAGCAACAATCATTGAATTTGATGACACCAGAAGCATTTAGTTCACCTACACAAACTATTAGTCCAACAAAACCTAATCTTAGTAAAGCAATGGAACAACAAATAGATAACGAAGATGTTCGAAACGATCTAATAAACCTGTGTAATAACGATCAGCAAGACGAAAAACCTCAAAAAGACAACTTTGCTAGTGGTGGGTCGAGTCCTAGTCGTGAAGTTCAAGAAATATTCTCATTCAAGAACGATCAAGAATTTTTTGATGAACTCATGAATGTCGGCAAAGAAGCAAAAATGGCAAATACCAATACCACGTCGCATTACGGAAATCAAACAGGTGAAATTGAAGAGAATTCCTTCTCGGAGAATCTCAATAGGAAACAGACAGCCGTGTGGTCTAGTATTCCTATACTTAAAGCCACTGAAGTGTTGAAAGAAGAAAATCGACGTCAGGAGATGCAACAAATACAACAGCAGCATCAGCAACAAGTAGCTGAAGAAACAGCCGAGGGGACAATTGTACAGGATAATAACGAGTTTAAGGATAAAAGCGCATATGTGCACCTGAATTATCGAATGAAATCATTGGAAAACTTGTTGCAAGAACAAAATGAGCAAATTCAGAGACTTAGCTGTGAATTTAGATCATTCGTCAAAAATTACAGAAATGACTCAAAAGACGATATTCACACAACGTTTTTAAAAGAATTGGATGTGGCGCTTACAAGAAGTCAAATGCAGCAGTCGAAGATGTTCGAAAATTATTTTAAAAGGGAATCAGATCAACATGAAAAATTAATCTCCAATGTTACACAATCATTAAGCAAAGAAATTATTGATAAGTTGCAAAATATTGTAATACACGAGATAAATAATGTGATTTTACCAACTGCAGTTAATTCATTTGATAATTTGAAACACCAATTATCTTTTGAATACTCACAAAAACTGGGGAATATGGATCATTACTTGAATGAAAATATAACGAAAGTAATAACCAGCAAGGTATTACATATTTCTATTTACAGGGAAAATCATTTTTCTGATAAATTTCAAACTTTTTTACAGACTGTGGCAGACTCTCTTAGTGCATCAATTTTGCACGTCATACAGCCAAGCTTAGAACAATGCTACAGAAATATGATAGAAAGGGCTCTAATACCATCATGGGAAAAAGTGTGCAATTCAATGTTTCAACAAATTCATGACACATTTACAAAAGGAACCAAAGAGTGTAAGTTATAAAAACTTTTTAAAAGTGAGAAAAAAAAACTGGATTGTTATAGTTAATTTAGATTTTTATCTAGTGCAGACATTGCGTTATAAACTAAATCGTATTGAGAAGAAAATCTCTTTCAAATATGAAAACAATTTTATATATTCCATATTTTTATCACATTTGTAATATTTCAAATAAAAATAATCATTATCTTTTAACAGATACAGCTTCGGTAGAGACTTATATGGAGAGACAAAGACGTGTACAGGACAAAGGCAAAGACTTGATTGTTCAAATGCAGGCAGTTTCAGATGCAATGAAAAACAGTGCCGAAAAACTCACAAATACTCTCACATTAGAAATACAAAAACAACTTTCTTTATCTTTCTCTAAGTATGTTCATGCTTATTTACTTCTATTGATTTTAATTTTTGAATTTTGAATTATTAATGAAGAATTCGAATATGTATTTTAAATTTTCTAGATTAAATATCTTCTTTTAGTATGCAGGATAAAATAGCGTTAACGATAGCTGAATTAGTAAGCGAACAAGTTAAACAAGGACTAAAAAATCACGTAGCAATTCTCGAAGACAGTGTCCTTAATGCAGTACGTTCAAGAGCTGTGACTCCTTCTCCACATGTAATTGATACTCAGGTACAAGAATAAAATTTCATTTCGACTTAATAAAAACTTATTATAAAACTAATTTGTTCAGTTTCAGCTGGTTCAGATACAGCAGGCATTAGCAAAAGGACAAATAGACGTGGCATTTCAACAGGCCCTGTCTGCTTCAGACTTGTCTCTAGTTGTCTATGTGTGTGAAAAAGTCAATCCTCAAGAAGTGTTTGGACTGGACAAGTGCATTTTACCGCAACATGTAACTCTGTCGTTAATACAGCAATTAAGCGCCGATTTAACAAGAAACACAGAATTAAAATACATGTGAGTATTTTTT